ACATTCTATATTTACATGTAACTATCCTTCTCATTCATTGTCTTGAGGAGAAATTGTTGCTGCATCAAAAGATTTTTTCCTCACCAGAAGGCAAGTGATTCTTGAAGGATGGGCATGCCTGTTATCTAGACTGCACAGAACGAAGTCTGGTCGGTGAAGTGACAGGTTTAGTTGATCCTCTCCAACAACCAATGTAGTTGCATCCAGAAGAACATGCCATGAATTCCGGTGGGCCTCTGAAACCCAGTGCATTGAATATCGAGTCCCATTCACATCTGCTGGGTAGGAAAATAGCCCCTTAGGACTGTGCTTACATTTTCTGCGGAAATACTGGCTTAGCTGTGATCCCTTGATCCGCAGATCCAACCAAGTTTCAGGTGCAGAGATTATCTTTGATTCTTTGTAAGTAGCGAACTCCTTTATGTAATCCCCGTCTTCTCCAATGATGGTCATGTAGCAGTTTCCCTTGAAAAAGGGATAGCTCTCACCTACCAACATCATGGCATCTTTGTAGCTTGGAGTGAAAAGAACAAGATAATCCTCATCAGGCAGTCCACAGAACTTCAGAACTTTATTTCGAGCTTGAATTTCGGGGATGGAGATGAAACTCCCAGGGAAGGAGGCCTTCTTGGTGAGGATGTCAAGTAATCTTGATGGCTCTAGCTGGGTTCTGTCTAGATCCGGGTGACTGCTTCCATAAGATGGTGCCAAGGGTTCTCTGAAGCCAGTCCGTGGTGATTTCCTTTTATCATCAAGGATGGGTTCAACTGGCTCCTCATTAATGCAAAGTGTGGAGAGATCTATTTGTTCACCTTCAACAAGTCCAGCATATTGTGGATATTTTGCCAGCACGTATTGTTCAACATATTGCATTTCTGTTGGGGTGATTGGCCCGGACCATCTAAGGTCTAGACCACGGAGTGTCGATATGGCTTCTGCTACTATGTGAGCGGGAATCACAGTGCGTGCTTTCTGTTAATGCATCAATTGATTAAATCAACATATTATCGAATTGCTGGAACTCATCTTTCGGAAAAAAAAAAGAGAGATCAATGAATATCCTACCTTAATGACCATGCTGCTTGGTCTGCCATCATCTGTGGAGGCCTTAAGTATAGATTGGAATGGGGACTTCTTTGGTCGATCCTCTTTCATTACCTATATATTTTAGCTGAATTTTAGCGATAGCCACTGCTAGATTAAGGATTGTAGAAAGCAAGAAATACAGAATCGAAGAACTCACCTTCAAACCAGCAGTTGAAATTCTCTTTGAATTGGAGTCTCTACCGTCTCTACCCATTGTTGCTTCTCTATACGCCACTGTTTAAAGTGTAGATGCTCTTGCCACAGACTAGATTCAGGAGGGAAGAGAGGATCAAAAGGCTAGGAAATTAAAGAGAGGATGCTTAGTAGAAATGCCTTGCAAAACGCACAGAAGATAGCGCTAGAGAGTTGGACTGATATGGGAATTTTAGGACATAGGAGAGTCTTCAGAGAAGTCAATGGAAGGGAAGTAAGAAAAGCACAAGCCAAATTCTTCTGCACTTTATTTGGTGGAAAGAATATATGGACTGTCGTGCTAGATAAACTTCAAGAAGTTGCTGAGGTTGGGATGAATTGGAGGAAGTGAGGGAGGAAGGTGCATAGAGAAGACTTGGCCAAAGTACTCACAGCAATTTCGGGAGTCCAGGAATAGAGTTTGACCAAAGGATTGATGAGTCACCTGAAACGATCTGCTTTAGCTTTGGAAACAAACAACATTGATACGTTGGTTAAATCACCCATACTGCCTCTACAGAACCTTCCAGCTGGAGAATAAGGTAAAGTGGAGCTTGGTTCTTGAAAATAAATGTGAATGCAGCTAGGCTTAGAATATTTTCAATTGTGATAGGACGTCATCCTTCAATTTTAAATTTTCTGCCGAAAGTGACATTTGGGGATGCTGGTGGACAGGTGCAATTGACCTATTCTTTAGTATTTGATCTATGGGTTTTTCTTTTTCTTTTTGCTGAGCATATTTAATTTATATTGTAGTTCTTTAGAAATAGGCTTGTGATTGGTCTACAAAGTCATTTCCAGAAATTTTAATTCATACAGAGATAGAGAAATTATGGATTTCGTGACCGTTGGGTTTGGTGCATACCTTGAGAAGAGGCTTTTTTTCTCAGTTTCAGCTTAGTCCTTGTTGCAAGGACCAACTTTTTGTGTATGCAATGGGTTGCTTGACCTATGACCAAGAGAAGAACAAAGGGATTTAGACCTTGAAAAGAGGTGTTTTTCTCAGTTTCAGCTTATTCCTTGTTTTTGCGAGGACCAACTTTTTGTATAGGATATTGTTTGCTTGACCCATGACCAATAGAAGAACAATGGGATTTAAGAATTTCATGAGGGATGGGTTAGGTGCAGGACCCTTTTTTCTGATTAAATGAAGGATCTGATCTAGGTACAGAACTAGCACCATATGGACAACAAATTGTTGTTGCTGGTTTCCATCCAAGAAATAGACCAAAAGAAAATGAGGGAGAAGAGGAAGTTGTCTAGTTATCTCATCTCGGCTTGATATTGTCTACTTATCACTGTGCAACGTGATCACTGTTCTCTTTCTCCTATTAAACTGTTCAGTGCAGTTCCCTTCTTATATAAGGTTGCACATTTATACTTGATGCAGAAACTGGATCTCCATTAACTGAGAGTATCACATCCTCATATCTATCTTAACAATTGTCGTAATCTTCTGATACGATTATGCCTCTTGAGTACAAAAGCTGTTAATCGGGGTGTATGCTCATCTAGCCACATTTGATTGCTTTGGTGCGACATTAATCTTCAGGGACTTTGAGGCCCTGTTTATGCAAACGGAAACATCCATGCACTGTGAGGCCGCAGGTACTTTCTTTCGGCGAGCACATATAATGTACTGTCGATATGGAGTTAAGTAATAGCTATTCCTTTCAATTCCGGTACATACGATGTGTTTCTACAGGAGGACAGAAAGATGCCGCTTGAAGATGCCTTGCTGCGAAGCATACATACAGACAAAAGTAATTGGAAAACTGTATTATATATGTTGGTAAATTGACGTTAGAATAATGTAAACAAGGGTGCCTTTCGTACAGCTCATTCGACACTGATTAGCGTAAACGAAGTTCCCATCTGATTTCTTGGCTGCTGGAAGGTGACATCAGATTCTTTTTTTTTTTTCCCTCTTGTTCGAGGGCTAGTTGACATAGGTTATATTGGAACAGCTGCTATTGATTAGTTTTAGCAATGTCCAGAAGTTGTGGCAAATTTTTAGTAGGAAAATGTCAACAGGAGTAGCTTTCACACACTTGTTAGCATCAGTCATTTTGTAATATTTTAAACCGATTTGCTCTATTCAATTCAATTCCTTCACCATTAGGTTGTGTGATATGTGTGTATGGAGAGGGAGATATTTGTACATGTATCACAGCTTATTGACAAATGTTCCGCCGTTACAGTGAAGAAACCTTTCTAACCGGTGGACTCTTTCAATGTCCTTAGAGAATTCCAACCCCTTGATTAAAGTAATGCTGTGCCACTTTCATACGAAGCCTCCTCTTGAAAAGGACCTTTTAACTAAACATCTCTCTCTCTCTCTCTCTCTCTCTCTCTCTCTCTTTCATTTGATAATCTTATAGCGATAGTGACATCTTTTACATCAAATGCTTCTAGTGATCTTGTCGCTTTTGATTTCGGGCTCTCGCTCCAACGGTACAGGTAAGAACGTCATGCTAACCTCTGGTTGATGCAAGATCTTCATTATATCGAAGTTTCCTTCTTTTTTTTTAATCTTTTTCAACATCTGCGAATACATGGTTTCAATACTGGCTCTGGACCAAAGACATCAAAACGGAACCGGATTAACATTGCTTAATCCCGTGTGGACATATGAATGACGTAAAAAGCAAAACTAGGCTCGCTATTTCTCGCATGCTTGCGTTTTACTTTAATGTGGCGCCTTATTGGTTCGAGTATAGGCTAATGAAGGTCTGTTTCCTTGGGGCCTTGAGGCTTGCTTCTTCACTGACTAGTCATAATTAAGCCTACCTCGTAATTGAGATTATTTTTCCTTTGCTTGCCAGAACCGATCCGAGTCATCATGCAAAGGGGGAAAAAGCCATTTGATGCTTATTGCCATGCCTCACGCGTTTTCGAACCTCAAGTCAGACGCAAAACAGGGCGTTGGTTCTTATGTTAATGTCGTCCAAAATCACCAACCAATTTGCCAAAATTTATCGTTAAGGGCTCTGAGCTTTTTGCCTTTTTGTTTTTCACATTTCCAATTAAATACATAGCTACAAACATACACGTTGTAGGGTTAGCGATTAAATTTGTGTAGAATAAATGTATGACATAGTTTCGCTCCTTGATGTACCAAATACAAACAATTCCAGTTTTGTATCATCCACTCGGGCTTTGACTCACGCGACACCTAGTTCATGTAAGCCTCTCAGGATGTTTTACAGATTTAGAATTTACCTAGCTAAAATTGGCTACTTCATCACATTGGATTATTCAATATTTATTGAATTCTAATGACTATATGACGGAATTAATCTTGCAAAACTTGGCACCTAGCAATTGGTTTGGACCTTGGAGGTACCGCATAGGCCAAGGACGCGATACGGTAAGAAAATTTCTTGAAAATCGGAAGCACTAATAAGATCTTCTGGCTCTAAATCTGCTAACGGTATTTACACATTGGCTAGAAAGGGACCAAACAACCCAAACATTTAAAAGAGGAGAGGTGAAATTGGGTAAAAAAAATTGACCTCAAGATCCACTTTGAAATTTAAAATAGAAAAAGGAAAAAGAAGAAACTTAATTCAAACACAGATATTGTGGAAATTTTATTTTGCAGAGTGAAACATCATATCGATTTTTACATGACCACCACCAACTCTTGTACCTACAGGCTACTAAATCGAAAAGAAACCGAAAAAAAGCGGAAAAATCACATGGAGGACCACATCACCCAATTGCTATTCAAACCCCAGCCATCTTAATGATTGAATGATTATTTTTGGTGTCTTCAAATTACTTTTATCGCGCACATTTGCATAATCAGTCCCCTGGCAAGAACAATGACCCTTCATCCGAGAATTGGCAAAGATTGTGGCTAGATCTCATTGGGCTGAATCGAACCTCTTATGTTGACTTCAAGAGGGCACTTTCACTTTTCATTCGAACAAGATCCGTCTCCATCACAAGCTGTCCACCCATCATTTTGAGACAATGGCCTTCCAACTAATTTGCATTCTTCAACTTCAAACTATCCACAAAAGAGCAGCATTCCCAGCGACCCACATCAGAATATGTCAACCACCATCATATGCTAAATGATTGAAACACCAACCATCTGATGTTTCTCTAATGAAGATACAAACGTAGGCAAATCTGATTTTGACACAATGCAGTTAGGTGACCAGCTGACAGCTCGTAAAGATCTCTTGAAATTGAAGCAAAAACCTGTCCTTCTTCCTCACGCTAGAAGGATACTAAAGATTCCTATCAAAAGCAACTTAAAGTGTCAAAAACCTTCCCACTACAACACTATGAAGATGATGTGAAGGTGGCTGTAGATGTGGTGAGAGGAAAGAGAGGAAAATGCCCCCAGAAGTACCTCTGTCCTCCACTCTCGCAACACCCCTCATTCGCTACTCTCCTCCAGCCCCTTCTGAGGTAGAAGGCAACCAAACTTTCAAACACAAATCACTCAGAGGAACTAGGAAGATGAAATTTAGCGTAAGGAAACTCATACCAGTTTTCGTATTGATCCTTGCATCCATATCCATCCTTAGATTCGTCCGAATCGTCATCACCACTTCATCTCCGCACCCACTTCCAGCTTTGCCTCCACATGTGCAACACGCATGCACCTCTCCTTTATCATGCAGTAAGGTTCTAACGGGAATAGCAGGCAACTCAACTTTCACACCGCCTGCCTACACCACCTCACTAACAGGTAAGGAATTTAGGCTTCTATCAAACCTCGTCAAGCAGAGGAGACCTTGCAACCTTCTCATCTTTGGTCTTGAGCCACAATACCTCAGCCTCTCATCAATAAATGCAGGAGGCACTACAATCATACTGGAGGATGATCCTAATAAGTTCACGAATTATAGGACAGAGATATCTAGCAGCACTCAGATATACAAGGTACAGTACAATGTACCAGCAAAAGAGGCGTATGAACTGCTCAAGCATGCAAGGAGAAGTTCGACCTGTGCACCTGGGGCTGCACTGCTTCGGCAGTCAAAATGCCGGTTGGCTCTAACAGGTTTGCCACAAGAAGTGTACAAAACAAAGTGGGATCTTGTAGTGGTGGATGGACCAAGTGGAAGCGACCCAGAGGCTCCTGGAAGGATGGGAGCAATCTATTCAGCAAGCATACTAGCCAGAGCTGGGAACTCAACAGATGTAATGGTTCATGATGTACATCGCACCATCGAGAGGTGGTTTTCCTGGGAATTTTTATGCGAAGAGAATTTGGTTTCTTCAAAAGGGAAGTTCTGGAATTTCAGAATACTGGGTCATACAGACCCTGCAAGATTTTGCTTATCCCAACCATGACAGGTACAATTATCTCCTCAGATCTTATTGCATAGGGAAAACAAAAGTGACACATTATAAGAGAGAAGAGTAAGCAAGGGTAAAGAGACGCCATGGAAACTACATGGTTCAGCCAGTGGCACAACATGCTATGGCCACTTTTGTTTTGGAAATTGCCCACATTGGAAAACAATTGCGATTAAGGTCGAAATGCAAAGAATGAGATGGCAACCGATAAAAGTTTCATCAAATACGCATCCCTCTGGTGTAGTTTTATCGGCATATGGAGCAGGAGAGGCTTCTTTCCTTACCAGCGAGGTGCTAGCAGCTTATACACAAAACCATGTTTTTATCAGTGTGAGAAGAGAGACAACCCCAGATTCTTTTGCAAGACAGTACCTCTGGTGTAGTTTTATCAGCATATAGAGCAGGAGAGGCTTCTTTCCTTACCAGCGAGGTGCTAGCGGCTTTTACACAAAACCATGTTTTTATCAGCGTGAGAAGAGAGACAACCCCAGATTCTTTTGCAAGACAGTTCCTCTTGTAGTAACTTTGCCTTTTCTTTTTTCTTTTGTTTCTGAGCATACAATGTAAATGAATCCCATTCACCATGCACAAGAAATTGTCTTTAGACAGAACCATTTTTTTTAATGAACGAATGAAAATAAGAGAGAAGAAAGAGTGTCCAACAGTCCAACATCCAAGAGAAAGAATGTAATAGTTGCAAATGCCCAGACACGAACCAAAATTTGTCATACTACTGCAGCCATAAAAGGTTGTGTCCAACTGAAAACTTGCAAATAGTCAAAAACTATACATACCAAACACAATCTGAAGCTTCGCAGATATATTTACACTGTCAAGATCAACCAAATCTCACTTGTTTACATCTCTGCGCTGTAATAATTAGGAAAACAACCAATTAGTTCACATTGCTCAGCTAATTCAGAAAGTGTAAAAGAAATTAAGGGAGAAAAAAAGGGACCATAATGTTTTATGAGCCAGATTCACTGGTTGCAGGCTCTCATGCAGTGTCAAAGTAGACTTGAAAAATGAGACAATGATTTAATTGGACATCATGGAAAGCTGGTCCAATAGTCTAAAAGTGAGACAACTATGCGCTCCAAAGCCAAACAGAATTGAAATTCTCTGAACTTTTTTGGGAAAAAAGAAGACATGAAAATGCACTTTCCCGATCAAATCACCTTGAGCAAGAAAAGCTTTGAGTCGCAAGTGTGCACTCATGACAAAACATCCAAATATTGCAAACTAGTTAAAACCCCAAAACGCAAAACAAAAGACAACCTTGAACTAGAAGACTGCAAAAGAGAGAACCTCACGGGATATGGTATCACTATTCAACAAATATAATAACAATCTAATTTGTAACATACTTTCAAGTCAACAAAAGTCAGTCAAATGTATTAATGGTTAAAAAAATGGAAGAAAGGTAATCTAATTATTAAATTGGTCCGCTTATATGGGTAATCGAACCATATATATAGAGCTTTTCCCTAACTGCGATACGCATGACCAAGAATTTTCAAATGGCCTTGCTGAGCTGAAAAAAGTGAATAAGGTGTTTCAATAACAAAACAAACCAGAACAACAATGAGACTGTTGAGGTATCTCCGTACAAAACCCAAACAATCATGCAGTCAGTATTCATCATATCCCAACAATCAATGATCCAAACTTACCAATCGCTTGCTGACGTACGGCTGTACATCTGTTGGCATCTCAGGTTGAGTTTCAACACTAGGCAATTTTCTTTTCTCCACCTCAAATTCTTTTCTTGATTCCTTTCGACTGCCTGCCTGCCAAACACGGCCAAAATTTGGAAGCCATTCAGCATCATTGCAGCTCTTAATTATTTCTCCTCTTCTCTCCATCTCCATCTCAATCTTTCTCCTTTCAGCCCAAGCAGCGCCCACCCTTTTAGGGTTTAACTTCTTGGACTTTCCTGGCTTATTAGAAGGAGAAATTACGCTAACTGATGGTAGCTGTCTGTGGTTGTCTGTCTGCCTTCGTTCAGAAGCATCCAACCAAGGAGGTGGTGCTCCAGAGTGCACATTTCCTTGAACATCCATTTGAGATGAGGAAGAAATCTGAGTGAGCAGCTGCAGACCTAAAGCAAGCGTCACAAGAATTCCGGTATCAACTAAAACTGCCAATAACCTCCTCCAGTACACAGACACAGACACAGACACACGCACGCACGCACACACAGAGACGGATGCCTTCACGATAACTCTGGTCGAGACGCCCTACTTTGATGAACATAAGGTTTATGTAAAAAGCAAAGACAAATACCTTGATAGCTGCTGTCTCCTTTCATCGTCCCTCCAACCTGATTCACATGATTTTACAACATGAAAGAGGTCACAAGTATGCAAAGGATGAAAGCTACAATTACAGACACATAAATCGTTTTGTGCATGTCCATAAAGTAGATCAATGCCACCTGCGAGGCATGCAAGTTATAAAAAAAAAAGGCAGGGGGGGGATGGATGCAATGCAAGAACTGCGTGCATCAGACTCAATTAGGACAGGCATTTCAGAAACAGTTACAGTCATTTAAATAAAGCTGTTTCTTCTTCAGCAACACGGCCAAACAGAAGTGGGAAATTAACTAGAAAGGTTCATGCTATAAAGAAACCGATAAAATCATCTCTCATGATGACGAAATTCTGGTAGACTTCAAGTTTAACATTATGTACCTATTGGGTAGGAAAAAGAACAACTTATCCAAATTGTAAAGCACATCATATGTCGATTGAAAAACATTGTCTAGTGACAAACAACAAAGACTTGAGAACAGGAACGCTACATCGCACAAAAATCAGCATTGTTGCTATAGATGAGTACTTCTTTCAGATGTCAAACTGTTACAAAAAAGAGTGAAAACCAAAAATGCAGCAAACAAAAGGATACCAAGTGGAACATCCTGTATCCCAAAAGCAACAAGGAGAAAGGAACAACAGTCATTTTCTGAGCTTCATAGTCTAAACATTTAAACAGGAAATGAGTGGTGCTAAATTAGCTCCCTGAAAACCTGCATTGCTAATGTGTATACGCAGAGCAACCACAAAAAGACTGTTGAGTTATAAAGAAACTGAAGCAACAATTTCAAAAAAGAAGCTGGAGGAGAACCAGAACTCACACTATCGCCAATGAAACCATTGGAAACAAAGTTCTTGTTCCTATCTCGATGGAGACTGGGGCACTGCATACTTCCATTCCCTGAATCATTCGCATAAAAATAGTTACTACCGTTACCAATGTATTTAGAGGAAAAGAGTCACACATTACATTTACTTCATACCTGTTGAACCACTAGAGCTCTGGAGTAATACTTCAGGATATTTCTCCGCAGGCAATGAAAAGGTGGAAGTGTGAGATGCACCACAAGTGCTCGGAACCCCATTAGGTCCAGTATGGGATATCTGATACTCATTCGTATAATATTGTAAAGGCATAACAGCATTCAAAAAGTTTTCATGAGGATGATATACAGAATTATTCCTAAAATTCTCGACAATCCCATAGTTTTGTTCAATTTGGATATCATTTGACGGTCCACATATTGGTCCATGTGATCCTTCTCCAGATAACACGGCTTCTTTCTTCAATGTTTCGCATTTCTTCTCCCACTGCACAAGCAGCATTTCTTTTCTTGTTATCCATGTCAATCAATGAAAACTAACAAAGCACCAAGAAGGTGCCAACCAGAGAACAATGTTCAAACAAAAAAGAGGACAACATAGTACTCAAAGCTTTAAAACTCGAGGACAACAAAATCACTCTAAGAGCACTTCTTAGACCGTACCTTAGCTACATCGTCATCCAAAATCCTGAAATCATCCAGGCGGTCCATTGCACCACCATTTTTCCAAATAAAATGCTTCAGATTCTTGAGGTGATCTGCACCCGCTAGGTGATTAATTGCATTCCCGCTGTCGCCGCGACACCAACAATTAAACCCAACTCAATGAATAGGGATATAGAATGAACGAATGAAATAACTAAGAATGAACCGCGGCCGATGAGAATTCAGTACGATTATCCCCCCAGGCAGACATAAGCCGGAAATAGTGAAACAACTATACGACATGGGAAGCAAGTTGAAGATACAACCAGTCCTAAATTCGACTAATCTATTGGAGGCGATGCCTCTGTCTCGCTCTAATTTGATTGTGGAAAAACAACGGCGAGAATTAACCGAAATGCCCTCACCAGGCGAACGGACTATCGAGCTCCTCGATGTCGATATCGCAGAAGACGCACCAGAACCGATTGCGAGAAACGTGCTCGGGGCGGAGCGGGCTAGGGTTGTCGAGAAAGAACCGGACGTCGGCCAATTTGGAGCGGAACCGATTGAGGTACTCGGAGAGTGATCTCTTGTGGTTCGGAAAGTACTTGTGACGCTGTCCTTGATCGTGATTGTGCCTGCAGACTTTGCAGAACTCAAATTCGCTCTTCCTCTTCGCGGTCGCCGTCGCCGCCGCCGCCGCCCTCTTCTTGGCGTCGTTGCTCGGGACGGCGAGATCGGAGTTAGGGTTCGGTTTCCGGCGCGGCGAAGAGTCTCCCACCATGACCCCGATCGGCGTCGGCGATGCGGGGCGGCGGAGACTCGTGCGACGCGACTCGACTCGACTCGGGAAACTCTCGGTCTCTGCAAATTTCGCGGCGGGAGCGATGGATGCTTAAGGAAAACGCGCCGATTTGAGTCGTTCGTCGTTTTAGTCCTCCACGGCGGGAACAAGCCCCGGTAGAAGAAACTATCAATTAATTTGGGATAATGATGTAAACAGTCTTTAAATTTTAATTTAATATATAATTTAATTCTAAAATTTTAATTAATTTAATATAATCCATAAACTTTTGGCATATCTTCAATTAAGTCCATAATATTCAATATAGTCCTTCTATTAATTCGAGCTCAGGAAATACATTGAACATTTTCATATAATTCAATGACTATATTGAACATGTACCAAAAATTTAGAGACCACATTGAACAAATTAAAAGTTCATGGACCATATTGCATATTGGGTTAAAGTTCCGGGATCAAATTGCACATTGAGCCAAATTTTAGGAACTGTTTATGTCGTTTTCGCACTCAATTTCGCGAAAAAAGGTTACATTAAAACTCGAATTTATGAGAATTCATTTATAATTTGGAAATTTGATGTGATGGATTAAGATGCCTTGAAGCGGTCCAATTGCTTAAATATTCAATTTTTTTGCCACACTGTCTTGTTTGTCAATCTTTATGTCCCGAATAACCCTAATTTTATTTAAAGATGTGATTTTTTTGCTAATATGTCACACTTTTGCCTTCTCTTAAGAGGCTGCTAAGAGTAGACTTATCAAAATGGAACATAAACCCTTTGACCAAAAAAAAAAAAAATGGAACATAAACCCATTTCTTAACTCATATAACTCATATTTAATAGGTTGAGTTGTTATATGGTTCGATTACATTCACTAAATGAGTCGTAAATAGATTTAGAATGGTAAAACTCAAAATAGTATAGGTATTAATGGGTTAACAATTTATTTATACCCTTTTAGCAAAAATAATAATAATTTATTTATATCCAACCCAGATTTATGACTCTTTCTTCATACTCTCTCATCCTTGCTCGCCCCTCGCACTCACCTCAATTTGGGTATGAATTTTCCTAAATTTGATTTGTTATAGAAACATTTTAACAATATAGGTCGGGGTCGAGCATGGATCGGGTCGTTAGATTTGCATTGTATGGAAACGGGTCAATTTGAATCGGACCATTTTCGATCCGACCCACTTATTTGACGAGTACAACTAAGAGTTAATGGAAAATTACAATTGAATGAAAAAAGACGATTAAAAATTACACATCATTTTTACCATTTCCGACCCTATCTACCTGTTTGAATCGGATCATTTTCAATCCAGACTGGTTCCAAGGGGAACCGGTCCAATCCTGGAACCAACAGTATGTTTTGTTTTTTTCTATTCATCATTATATTCTCTCGTCAAATCAGTGTTTGATGCATGTTTTCAAATGAAACATCTACCGCAGGTTTTAGCTCTCAAGGGTTCATATCATGGAGACACTCTAGGTGCTATGGAAGCCCCAGTCACCATCATCTTATACCGGCTTTATTCAGCAACCATAATTTCTAAACTTATCCGTTCAAATTTTTTGAAATTGGAAATCGGAAATCGGATCGGTATTTTTAGGAATTGCCCAAAATCAACTGATTCAATCCGGACGATTCTTTTTGCACTCTACTAATTCACCGTCCATTCGCACGATCTTTTCATTTCCGCAGGCGACGGAGGGGGTTCAAGTCCAATCATTTAGAATCGATGTCACATCGCGAGAAGAAAAATTGAGTTGTGGTCCAAAATTGGGGACACGCAACAAATGGTTGACCGGTCATAAGGAAGATGTGCTTTGAATTTGGATGAATGTGGCCCAAGCCCACCATTTGCATGGATCTTCTTCACGAGGCCCGTACTGTTTGGCAGACTTGCCTAACTACTACCATCCCTTTTACCGGTTTCATGTTAATCCAAATTCGTTAATCAACAAACTAAACTAACTAACAAGAACATCAACCAAATGAAAAGACCCGGAATTGATCGATCGCCCGGCAAAACAAGCAAGACCGACACACAACCGGGTTCCTTTTCAAGTTCACGAAAAACTACGGCACTTATTTCGCTGCGGTTCAGAGAATCCTATATTTCTCAATTCTCATGGATTGAGAATATCATTCGGCATATTGCCGGTATTCAACAATTACGCAACTAGCAACTCTTTCTTGCAGTGATGCAATGTTTCTCTCGAGCATCTTTTCGCGCTCGCCTTCTTCTTCTTTTTTCCCCTCTTTTGCAAATAATGGCTGGTACTGTGGATGTGGTGCAGTTGATTACATCACACTGTTGATGCCAAATTTAAAAGTTTTGTAAGTACTACGATTTTCTGAAGTGATGGAAGCTTGGACTTGCCGCCTTGCATCATGAAAGAGTAGTTGAGTTGCCGAAAGGACATTTGGCTCTCTGGTCTTTTTTTAAGGTTCCTTTTCTGAGACACGAACATCATCATGCTTCTCACGAGAATGCATGTTGCTTACTGCCTGAAATCACATGATTCACGTATCTGAAACTAGTCTAATTAATGGTGCGAATGATTGCACCAAATAGCAAGCATGGCTTCTAACATTCCTTTCAATTGCAAAGCTATTCTCTCCGTTCACGCCCAGGGCAATGATTGACAGAGATGTTTTGGTTTTGGATTCGTATTTGACAACCAGAGCACAGTGATTGTTACCCCTACTTCTTTTCGGCGACGCCATGTTTTAATTGGTAACTTAACCAACTTGGTCACAGGTGCATCTTTCGCCGCCTCATAAGTCATAATTCGGCTTTCGTGCTTTGTCGCTATTCATTCCGGCTAATGATAGTAGCAGCGCAAGAATTCGAATCCCACAAGTCTTTCAGCTCAAAACTTCTCTTCCGATCCAAGGAGTAAAAGTTGCTGCTGTTTTTGGTTGGTTTCGGAACGACTATGGCCGAAAGGTATGGCATCTTTTATCCTGCCTGTTCTTCTAATCCTAGAAAGCAATGAGAGGTACTTTAGGTGGGCATGTATGGCATATTCATCTTCCTCTCTCATCTGTTCATGCCCCAATTATCAAAGTCAAGACAGTGAAGTAGTCCTCACATGACTTTTATCAGCTCCACAATCTTTTGTCCCCCTCTCTCTGTCAAAGTCCTCTTGTGCCTAACTGGTCCCTGTCCAAATTTTCATTCGACTCTGAACTGTGAAATACAGGTACAGGAACACAGTTTCTCCCGAAGGAAGCGTCGCCCCAAACCTCCTCGATATCTTACTTGTAAGTCATGCCCAAAATCATGCCGAAGTGAACGGTATCCAAACGGTGTAGCATCAGGTATTACCATTAGCTGTGAGTCGAAACTGCCATGTGATAATCTGAAGTGGACAATCGAATCGGTTCGGTCGGTCATCCCAAGAAGAACTTTTGAGGGAGCCTGATATATGTTGACACCTTCCTAGACGATCATGTGTATGACGAAAGAGTGCACAAGTGCAGCTTCCACTTGGTATTACGGCTTGTGTTTCAGCAAATCTAATAATAAGATTTTGCATCTACGCACAGTTTCGCTCTGACAACAACGTGAAGACGATGTGAAAAGACAAATTTAAGGTATTGTCATGATGACTAGCTTGATTATACTGTTGAAAACATGTCCTACATCTTTATTATCCCACTCCCCAACTTTCTGTAATTGATTGTTCCCTGCATATCTATGACGGTATCCAGATAAAAACACGAAAGACAAGGAATCCATTTCGTTAGCACTTATCGACCATATTGTGGAGTGGAGTACGGCTTTCATGCGAGTGGTAGCGCTAGTGCTATTTAACTGGTATGCAATCAGTGCGAATTTTAGGTTGCGCATATCGGTTTGAAGCCGCGGAGTGTGAACTCGCAACACTGGGTCCCAAAAGTTTTATGCGGACTGCCGAGAGCATCCTTGTGATACCACACATTAGCCAAACTTATCTACTTCAACCGGATCAGTTCGGACGAAAAAAAAAGAGAGAAAGAAATCTTAAAGTGGTCTGGTCTCTACTTTATAATCAGCTACCGCTTCCGATTGAATTGGCTCATGCGCCCCCAAAACTCCATCTAATGATAATTACCCATTAGGCATTACCATATTTCCCAGGATTATTAACTTATTACTGGAACAGCTTAACTTTGTGGTTACTTTATGCATTCTAGTACATAATCTTTTGATTAAAGGACATCAGAATGTACTGTTGATGGTATGCTAGCAAGCAACAGCAGGTGGACCACAGAGAACACACTAGTGCTTATAAATTGGAAAAAGATTTGTCCTCAAGAGTCCTCATTAGGTTTGGCAGCCAAGAAGTTTCTGGCAGCAAAAAGAGGAAAGGAAAAAGAAAAGGTCTCTCAATGATAGTTATTGTTATTAGGACTACCTTTTTCTAACTTGATTCTCAGTTCTCACAAACATGCTTTTCAAAATAGGACCTAGTTTTGAAAACTTTACAAATTCTTTGCCCCACTCGATTATGTCGTGACCTCGTGAAAGAACCGGGCGGAGTGTATTATTGCAGACAGATTAACTGTATTTGAGTAATACGTCGCGAGGTTGCTGACAAATCAAGCTAGTTCGATTGTCACGACATCTTTGCGAGGGCACAGTGCATTGCAATGTGACCGGTGCTTTTGGTAAAACCCATACCATATGATCTTATCTGGATTCCCTTTTTCCCTGGTGTTAGATCCCAGACATGGATAGTGGGTGTTTGGTCTTCTGATGTGCAAAAGTTAAGGAGTTGAATACAAAGTGGATACAGCTATCCTGTCACATTGCGTAGATGAAGTGGTTGCTTTTTGTTCTGATTCGTTTGCCTTTTCTATGGACATCAAGGTTCGGAAGTTGACTCTGATTTTTATCAGTTTGACTACTTTAATCTGCAATTATTCGTGAGCCTTGGTTCCCCAATATTATTTGGCAAACTTGGAGTAATCAAAACTTGCAACTAAAATAGAGAACACAATTGTAATGGAAACTAGAAAGTCATCAAAACTTGAACTTAAAATCTAAGACCCGATTGAGTTAGACTAGATCATCAGAAGTCCGCGACACCAGAATGTTTTGTCATGGTCATTTCAACCAGAGATGCCTCGTGTCTATAGATTTTAGCAACTAATGGTTTTCATGATTAGGATAATATGATTCAGTTCGATTATAGATTGATTTTAAGTGAACTACAAAGCTTAGCTTTCTTATATAGCAGTTTTCGTAATCCATTAGAATGGTTGTACTGCATAAATTCCTTAGTTCTTAAAAAGCTTAGGGAACTTAAACAACTATGCTCTCATCTGTGCTTAAGATGTTAGGGGGATTAGAGAAAAAAACCTCGGAGTTACAATTTAGGTTGATGCAGACGTTCAAAAAAGCTGCGTCTCAGCAGTCACAAGCACCGGTATCGAAACCGTACCATCAGAAGTTGTGACAAATCGCCGAGATAGTCGCCATCAGAACGATGCAAAATAACAAGTGGAGGAATCAGAAAAACCATCTACAACTTAGATGATGCCATGCCATAAAACAACAGATGCTTAGGTAGTATATATCTGGTCTGCTGTTCAGCATCCTCACTCTAAAGGCGAATGCTATTCCGACCCGCCTAGAAAATCGATTCACAAAGACGACTGCAAAAGTTGAGAATCGTCGAAACTGCCGGTTATCGCAAACATACCGGTAGTCTCTTCGGGACAACAGGTACGGCATTCCGAGTTCGCAAGTGATTTTTGAGATTTAGAAATCACCCTCCTTTTTTATATTCATACCATACAATTGAAGCGATCAATGGTTAAATGCCTTTTGACCCAGATCAAGGTGTGTAGACGGTAATGCTTTCAACATGCCACCTATTATTTATTTGTCCTCCACAGTCTTTTGCTTCCACTTTCACGAGGGAATTGCAAGAATCCAATACCAAAAGACCTGCAAAAGAAGTGCGAAAAAAAACATAGCAACTTGACTGAATCCGAAAAAGTTCAGCTGGCATCATCATGGTCATCGCTCGTCACCAGCGTCGATGATATCGTTTCCATGGCCGGGAAGCGCGCGTCCGGAACGTCGTCAAGCCGGTCGAAACCTTTGTCTACAAGACTGGCAAGTGATCTCCATGCACGTCGAGTCGATCTGCCTCGTCGCCCGCTCCTTCATCCTCTCCGCCCTATCCACCTCCTCCCTCGCCCTCTCCCACATGTGCCTCGCCCGCGCGAACTCCGACTGCGCCAGCTCCATCTCCCGCCTCGTCAGCTCCCTCACCCGCTCCGCGTACGCCTTCTCCATCGCGGCGAGCCGGATTTGCTCCGCCGCCTCCCACTTCAAGGCCTTGACATTACTCGTCTCGAGCTTCGCGTCCCCGTACCCGCGCGCGGAGCCCCCCGGGACCGCGCTGTTGGGGGGCGGGCGGATCGGGCGGAGGCTGATGGACAGCTGCAAGTCGAGGGAGGGGGCTAGCTCGTACGGATCGGACGCGGAGGCCAACCGGCGCCTCGACGAGGAGCCCGACGGCGTGGAAGGCATGTTGGACGAGGAAGCTGCGGAATGCGGGGCAGGGAGGAGCTGGAGTTCCTTTTGGTCATCGTCTTCCATTTGAAGAAGGAAAGGAAGAGGTTGTGGGAGTCACGAAAGAAGAGAGATCGTGGGTGTGCAGAACTCGGTGTGTATATATAAGCAAAAAGCTCGCACATGCCATCTCTTTACTATTTTGTCCATGGTCACCATGCAAAATGGCTTAATCAAACTTTAGAAGTTCCCATGTCGCCAGCTAAAGGTGTGTAACAGTGAAAATTAAAAGAGCTATCCAATTTAAGTCGGCACTAACCTACGCGCGAACGCGGGATCCGAAGATACCTACGGTCGGAGAACAAGGGTCCCCGAGTAAAGCACGGTACACATCACGTATCAGCAAGTCATCGTCCGATTTTCTCGATCGAATGATGGGACATACGACAATAAAAACTGAAAATCAGCTGCTTTAGTTTACTATTGGATTAGAATTTGGTAATTCTAGGAGAGGAAATGACATAAATGGTCCCGAAACTTTGGCTAAATGTGCAATATGATTCTTGAACTTTTAAATTATTCGATGCAGTCCCTGAACTTTAGCCCAATGAGCATTATGGTTCCTGGAATTTTAAATTACTCAATGTGGTCCGTGGACTTTTGGTACATGCTCAATTTGATCCATGTACTATTTAAAAATAGGAAAAAACCACCAAAACCCCAAACTTTGATCTGACACATTTACCCGAATTTTTTTGTGACACCAAAACCCCGAACTTTACTTTTTGTGACACATTTACCCAATGTATTTAGTCCATGGGCATTTTCGTCTTTTACCTTTTTTTTTTTTTTTTTTTTTTTTTCCTTTACGGCGAGGGGGCCTCGCCGGCGTCGGCCTCGCCGGATCCGGAGGGCCCTCGCGGCGTCCCGCCGGCGGTCCTCGCCGGCGTCGGGCGGGTTCGCGGCCTCGCGCGCCGATGGGGTTTTTGGTGGTTTTTTCCCTTAAAAATATTCATTATTGTCTATGAACATGAATTAATGGAATGACAGCATTAAACATTTCCATATAGTTCATAGACTAAATTAAACATGTACAAAAAGTTCAGAAATCATATTGCACAAATTAAAACTTCATGGACCACGTTGCGCGTTAAGCCAAAATTTAGGAACCATTTGCGCTGCTACTTCTTCTAGAGGAATGCGCGAGGGTGTTTTTGGGGGTGAAAGAGAGGTTGGAGATGAGGGGTGGGAGGAAGGAGAATTCCGTTATATTTGAAGGAGGGACGAAGGGATGGCGCATGTAACGGATCGCGTTATAGGGCTATTGAGTAGAAGACTTTTGGATCCTCGCAAAGCGTTTGCATCTTCCCCCTTTTTCGCCCTTTTCCTTTGTGATAATTCATTAATTATTGAGTTGTTTTTCGCTTTTTTACATGGAGGAGAGTGGAGATGAGGAAGGATTTGAGTGGGGGATGAGTGAGGAGGAGCTTCGTGGGCGTGTAATAATTACGCTCGCACGTGCGTAGGGAGAGAAAGAGGGGGGATGGCAAGATTTTATGTAAGAAATATCGGCACAAACAATGGTTTTACTTTTAACTCGATATGCAATTCGGTCTCTGAACTTTAACCTAATGGTAAATGCTATCCCTAAACTTTTAACGTGGTCCCTCGACTTTGGTACGTATTCAATATAATCCCTGAACATTATGAACATGTTCGATGCAATCCCCGAGCTTGAATTAATGGAATGACTGTATTGTCGGGGATGATATCGAACAGATTAAAAGTTCAAGGGCTACATCGCACGTTGGGTTAAAGTTCCGGGACTACATTGAACAAGTTAAAGGTCCGGGGACCGTACTGTATATCGGGCCGAGATTCGGGGACCGTCGGTGTCATTCTCCCTTCATATAATGACTCGAGGAATTTCAATTTTCAATTTTTTGTTATTGTTTCGGTATTTCTGGGCCTTTTTTTCTCTTTTTTCTTTTTCATTCTTTTGTAAGCAAATGAAAATGACTTTATGGTGGTAGGGCTGATGCTGTTGGCCCTGGGTAGTGGGTACCCATAAAACAAAAAAACGAGAGAGAGAGAGAAGGAGAGCGCTCCCGACTTTTGGATGCGAGAGCAGGCCACGCCCCTCGGGAGGGGCAGATCGGCACGTGGGAGGGGCACACTGCGAAGGGAGGGAGGGGGGGTGTGGCTGAGTATGATCGTGGGTACTTGACTCTCTCCACTTGGACCGTTCATTCCCTTGCGGCCCCCCTCCCCCTCCCCTATCGTGAATTAGCCCATTTGCCCTTTAGTTTCCATTAGGAGCACCATGCTTCCTCGGCCGGGCCGATTACCTAATCGGTCTCGAACCTATTGTATAGATGCTGATTTCATCCTAAACTTTTTAATTTTGATGATCTCGCGAAATTCTGATGTAATTCTTTCGGGCCAACTGCCGCCGGGAGTCACTAGCCCGGGGATTCGCGAGTTGTCCGCGTCAGCATGCCATGCAAGACGGCCGGCCGGCCGACAATGACTGGATGCCTCGTGGAAGGATTGCATTGGATTTTCTGCGCGAAGGTTTTGGGGCTACATTGGCGAAATTGAATTCGCATCGATCTCAATGAGTGACTGGCTTGTTGAGTGTTCAAGAGCTTGGCTCGGCGACACTGAATCGAGAGTCCAGGGAGGCGATCGAGGTCCGATCTCTATAGATGCGGAATCTATCTTTGTTTTTCTCTCTTCTAACTCTCCAACAGCCAGTCACGTAAGAAGATATGCCTTGTTCATTGGGAATATATAGTGTAGTTTATCAATTTATGACGTACACACTTTTTTACTTTAGGGATAATTACACAAATGATCCATGAACTTTGGCTCAATGTGCAATGTGATCTCCAAACTTTGAATTTGTTAAATGTGGTCCCTGAACTTTAGCCCAACTTGTAATGTTGTCCATAAACTTTTAATTTCTTCAATATGGTCCATCGACTTTTAGAATATGTTCAAATTAGTCCTTGAACTATATGAAAATGTTCAATGTTATATTTTCATTAATTCAAGATGAGGGACAACATTAAATATTTTCATATAATCCAGGGACTAAATTGAACATGTATCAAAAGTTCAGGAACTACATTGAATAAATTAAAAGCTCATGGACGATATTGCACATTGGGCTAAAGTTCATGAACCACATTGAACAAATTAAAAGTTCGGGGACTACATTATCCATTGAACTAAAGTTTATGAATCATTTATGTCATTTTCCCTTCAACTTTAATCAAACGTGATGCACCTTCAAACATTTGAAAATGGACAGATTTCTCCATTGCGTTTTTAGGGGCGCAAAAGATGTGTTTCTCTATAAGTGCAAAGTTCATCTTTGTTTTTCTATTTTCAAGTCTACAACAGCCAGTCACGTAAGAAGATATGCCTTGTTCGTTGGGGATATATAGTCTAGTTTACCATTTCTTTGAATTTTTTTTTTGCTTATCTTTTAAATTTATGCCGTACACTTTAACTTTAATCGAAGGTGATGCACCTTAAACATTTAGAAGATGGAGAAATTTCTCCATTGCGCTTTTAGGGTTGGAAAAAAATGTGTTTTTGCGGCTTCTTGGCCCCCACCAGAGACGGTCCTTTGATAATCCACTTGATCGTCCACTTTAATCCTGGGGAGCATGCTCTGCAGCTAGCTCATTTTTCACATTGCTTTCTCCCAATTGGTCGGTAGCTCCACGCACCAGTTTCACAGCGATTCGCGTCATTCTTTACAATTCCTCGATGAAGATGTACTTGACAGCCTCCACCCATGATTCATAGCACGTTAAACTGTCTCCTTAAGATAATCAAGTTGGTACGACGTATTAAACTATATTAAACGACGAAATGAACCGGGCAGATCCAGCCCGAGAAGGGAAAGGAATAGGTGATCTCTTGCGTTTCCCTCAGACACTAACGGTTTGAGAATCACGATCCCTGGCGCTCTCGAGCTTAACTGGGCATGCTCGAAAATGGCAGCAGCAATCTGTTGAATGCTTGGCAATTACAGTTCTTGGCGTCATACTGAGCGAAAAGGCTTTTGCACATATCAGCCAAATCACATGATAGAACACGAGTCTTAATCATCATGTCCACATGCCCAAACCCCTTTTCTGGTTAAGCATGATCTGTCGAATAAAAGAGGAAAAAAGTGGAAATGGAGAGGGCGAAAGGGAAAAAGCTCGCCAGGCCACCCCCAAAAAGAGAAAAGAAGAAAGCCTCAATGAATAGCCCACCCGAGTCCCCAAATCCGTAGTGTTATGCGCGTGTCAGGCACTTAGCTTTTTACTGTACCTTCAGCCCTTTGAAGATTTTCCCATTCTTTCGTCTCAGCTCGCAGACCCTTCCCCAGATCCGAGATGTCAATGGACAGAGCGAGGACGCAAAGGTTGATGATAAAGACGAATCCCTGATTCCCATGCATAACGCCAGCGATCCCATTACGAGATCATGCTACTTAATGGGCATATTCCCGTTTGAATTAGCTGAAGCATCCAACTTGCTTCGAACTATCTAACCGTCGTCATTGCACGGAATTTCTTTAGCCATAAGACGGGAATGAAACCATCACAGGGCCAGACGCTCATTTCCATCATTTCCCGTGGTCGAATTTGCAGCAACCACAAATTTCAGCCGAATCACAACCCTCGCATTCAATAGAATTGCTACCATTGCTATCCTCTCTACAATTTGAGCTAACTATTATCCAAAACGGTTGGACAAAAACATGAAAAAGACAAGGGAAAAAAAGAAGCCAGCAAAACAAGATAGTTTAGTTCCCTTAACCTTTCGTTAATCTTAACTGAACCCATGTAAACTTGTAATTTCTAAACCTACAAATCATGCTACATGTGAAGCCTTCAAGAGTTTATGCAAAAGAAAAAGGCAAAGGAAAAAGGAAAAAAAATTGATGCTACGTAAAGGTAAGACTGCAATTCTGATTTTCTTCTTCTACATGTGTGTGAAGGCTGTGTCGCAAGTCGAACGCTCCTCGAAATAGGTCAAAAGTTTTCTGAGAAAGTCACTTGAGGTGAAATACATGGTTTGCACCTTAAATAGAATTAAGCGCTTCAAGTTGCTTCCTTAGATCTTCGAGGTCATCAATATATGCATCT